CCCCCGAGCTGGAGGCAGCACTGCAGGGGGGTCTCCCCAGAGCAGAGCGGAGCGCAGCAGAGGGGCAGAATCCCCCCTCGCCCTGCTGGCCACGCTGCTGGGGATGCAGCCCGGGATGCCGGGGGCTCGCTGGGCTGCCAGCACCCATTGCCGGCTCATGGTCAGGCAGAGATCAGCAGCCCCACGAGGTGCAAGTGGCACGGGGTGCGATGGGGAACGTCGTGTGCTGCTGATTTAAGCACAGCCCAGCCACCCCCAGGGCTCCAGGATGAGGCAGTTGCCCCTCACTGATCATGGGGCTGGGAAAGACTCCCCGTGGCTCTGAGGACGCTGAAGGATAAGCGGCTGGAAAATAAGCCTTATTGCTCCTGCGGAGCTGGGTCCTGACCCACCCAGAGCAAACCAAAACCTGGGGAGCAGCCCCTCTTCCCCAGTTCCCCCTCAAATACCTTTCTTAAATGGTTTGTCCTCAGAGTCAGCAAAGGGGTCGAGGCTTTTCCACGGATCCAGCATCTCCTGGTGGAGGAGTGAGCAGGGATGAAGCCAGCAGAGCTCTGAGCCACCCTGCTCCCGGCAAAGCTCCCTGCAGCACCATGGGGTGGGCGCACAGGAGACACCAGGCCCAGTGGGTCAACCCACCATGGGCACCAGCGCAGCATGGAGCACAGCAGGGAGGGCAGGGATGTCCCAGGGCTTCCCACAGCGTTCCACACAGACTCAGAGAGGCTCCCCAGCTCTGGGCCCCCCTACCTTGATGTGTGCTGCAGGGTCCTCAGCAGGGGCTCGCTCTCGTAGCATGTAGCCCCTCGCCCGGGGCGCACTCTGGCAGAGACAGAATGAGGCAGTGAGTTTCCCGCAGCAGCAGGCGGTGAAGCACGGCGCAGCGGTGCTTTGGGGAAGGGGCCAGGCAGAGACATGGCCCCCACACCTACCCTCTGCGCCTCAATGTGTTCATTAGCAGCAGGAGTCATTTCCACATCGTCCTCCAGGGCCTCAGGCATGTCATCCCCTCTGCTGTTGTCATCATGGGGTCCGACAGCACCTGGCAAGGGAACAAAAGGGTCAAACACCATAAAAGCTTCTGTGAGACCCCAGTTCATAGAATCACAGAATAGTTTCAGTGGGAAGGGACCTTTAAAGGCCATCGAGTCCCGCCCCTGCCCTGGGCAGGGCCACCTCCCCCCAGCCCAGGTTGCTCCGAGCCCCGTCCAACCTGGCCTTGAACACCTCCAGGGATGGGGCAGCCACAGCTTCTCGGGGCGACCTGCCCCAGGGGATCACCGCCCACACAGGAAAGAATTTCTTCCTCAGATCTCATCTCCATCTCCCCTCTGTCAGTGTCAAACCGTTCCCCCTCGTCCCACGGCTCCCCTCCCTGACCCAGAGTCCC